TAGTAGTAGCAGTAGTAGCAGAAGTAGTAGTAGCAGTAGTAGTAGTAGTAGTAGTAGTGGTAGTAGTAGTAGCACAAAGTATTGTTACTATTCATATTATTAGTAATGGTAGTTTTAGCATTGGTAATAGTAGCAGAAAGTATTACGTATTATATTATTATTATTATTATTATTATTCGTATAGTAGTAGTAGTAGTAGTGGTAGTCGTGGTAGTTATTATTAGTAATGGTAGTGGTAGTAGGAGTAGTACTAGAAATAGTCGTAGCAGTCGTAGCAGTAGTTTTGTAGTAGTAGTAGTCGTCGTCGTCGTCGTCGTCGTCGTAGTAGTAGTTTTAGTTGTAGTAGTCGTAGTTGTCGTCGTGGTAGTAGTAATATTTACGTACGACGGCAGCGACCATTGCCATTCTGAGTGCATCTGCTTTGTCAGTGGTGGTTGTTGTCATCTCGTACCTACGTGTATTCTGAGAAACTTCACTCCTACGGACACTAGGTCGAGGACGCGCGCGAAAACATGCTTGGTACGAGGGCCCTAGACTTTGCTGTTCCCAAGTGGTGAGCACAATCACAATGACAACGAGCCCTGCGTGGATCCACGCTCTGAGCGTCCTCTCCCTGGCCATCGAGGTTCTGCACAAAGTCAGGGTTCCTCAGCGGGGTTGACTTGGGGATCTCTCCAAGGCCTGATGCACTGGCAGGATCCGTGGACGATTCTTCGGCGGAACTTGATGAGAGGGCTCACTTCGTGTGGATGTTGTGCGAGCGTGTGAAGAGTCCGCTCGACAGGAAGACCAAATGTTGAAGACAGTGGCTTCCCAGCGACTCAAAGGGAAGCTTCCCCGAGTGCATGTCGCACACCCGGCGTGACAGGCCATGCATGTTGGACGCTGCGCTGAACCATGGCACCTATGGCATGGCAAGGCTGCGGGTTAAACTTCAGCTCGACGAATCAACGGTACCAAAGTTCGATACTTCTGGGGCTCTCACTGCTTGTTGACAGAGTAGTTGGTGAGGTGCATCATCCTGCGAATCCCGCAGGCATCGATCTTCGGAATCTTCGGATCTAAGATTCAAGCTGCGGACGGGAGAGTGAATGATACCTTACCAGGTGTTCCACCCGACTCGCTTGTATAGCCTTAAGCCACCCTACCTTGATGACTGCTACCTGCTATCTTTGATACTAGTGAGCAGCGTGTTAGGCAGCCTTGAAATGTCTGATATAGGCACCTTCAGAAGCACCACTTATAGAACATTTTCTCCAGGCTCATGGAAGCTCAAAGGCAGAAGGCACGCCTGAAGCTTCGAGATCCGAGCCCCGCAAGGCAGAGCCGAGCTAGATGGACAATCTTGCTATCACGACTAGTACTCTGAGTTGAAGCATTGCTACGGTCATCATGAGCACCTGGGTCAAATTCATGACTGCTATTGATGATCGTGGTCGCTGCAGGTCGAGCACGAAACCGCTGGCGTCCTGGACTGGAGCGTGTCCACGGCTTCCGAATACTGCTCCGTTGCAAACCGGACAAGGCCCTCATCGTTAACGTACACCTTGAGAGGATCGTACCTGCCACAGGCCACCGGTGTCTAGTTCAGATAAACGCCAAAGGTCATCTCACCGGCAAGCAGCAACCAATCTCTATACCTCTTTCCATCCCTAAGTCCAACACCACCACCATCAACAACAGCCGCTGCTGCTTTTCTACGATAAGTATTACGATTGAAACTGCCTGCGCCTACTAAACCCTACTTCCGTCCGTCGTCGCTTCCACCGTAGGGCCGGGACGACAGAACCACCACGTAGATGCGCATGTCAAACCTGAGCAGTCGAAACGTTTCCTCCATCCCAAATGTGTGTGTGTGTGTGTGTGTTTGCGTTTGTGTGCGTGTGTGGACATGGAAGTAGTATAAGCAAGAGAGATCGGAGGAAAAGGCGTCGCGATCACGTCAAGTACTGTTATTCTTGCTGCAACGGTGCTGGTATTCTGTCTTGCTAGTATCAGTCTGGTACGTGTTGTTGCTACTGCCATCCGTGGTCGCCATCGTAGTGGTAGGCAGTGGTTGTAGTGGTAGTGGTAGTGGTGGTGGTAGGTAGTGGCAGTGGTAGTGCAGTAGTAATAGTAATAGTAGTCCTAGTGTTAGTAGTAGCCGTAGCAGCAGCAGTAGTAGTCGTAGTCGCACCCGGCGGTCTGCCAGTTGTCGTCCTAGTAGCCGTGGTGGTTGTGGCAGTGAGCTGGTAGGACCAGCAGCAGTATCAAGGTTGATTAAACACCTCGCACGCAAGCTCGGTTCTGCACTTGCGCCCGCCGATGAGCAGCGGATTGGGAATGTAGCGCTGGATGATACCACGCCTTAGCTGCTACTCAGCCAATCCATAACTCAAAGCTTGGCGCCTGGGTTTTGTCTTCGAAGTTTGTTGTCATCTGGACCGCAGCTCTCCGATGGAGGAGCCCGAAGGTGCGAGAAATCGCAAAACTAAAAGACAAGGCCGTTTCGACCTGAACGCACACGACCATCTTGATGCTGACCAGCTGAAGACGAATCGTGAAGGAGCATGGGCCGAGCGACAAGCCAGTGCCTAGTTTGAATATATCCACAAAGCCTCCACAAAGACTCCCAAGACCTTAAAACCCTAACCCCAAGCCCCAAACCAAACCCTAAACCCTAAACCCCCGCAAAACACTACACTTGACCCCTCAGCTGCTGGCTTCTTGGACATCTCTTTCATCTGGTCCTCGCACTGTCTTGTGGTGAGGTGCTGCCGCAGCGTCGGGGTTTTAGGGTTTAGGGTTACAAGATGAACACCTTCTCCGGCCTAGCAATATGCCGGAAAACACGGATGAAAGCCTCTGGTTGGAGTTAGCCGTACAGCTAGCCGTATTGGCAACCTTCATCCCGTTAGGTTCCGTGATGAACCCAACTAGGTCTGAGCGTATGCCAGCATGGCACACGGCTCCCAGGGCACTTCACCACGTTTCGCATCCACATGGATGCTGACCTTGATGCTGGAATGAGTCCGAAGTCGCACAACCGAAGTCCTGCACCAAGAAAACTGCCCAGCTCCGAACCCCCAAAGCCCTCGATGCCTAGACCCTGGTACTCCTAAACCCTCAGCCCTCAACCGTCCAAGGTGTGGGAGCTAGGATTAGGGGGACC